AGAGAGAGTGTGAGAGTGTATGTGTGTGTGTGTGTGTGTGAGTATGAGTATGAATATGAGAGAGTGTGTCCTAAACTGAATACATGAATACTTTGCCTTTGTGGAACTTATCTTTTAGTGAAGTAGGGAGATAAGCAAATAATGAAGTGCATACATAGTATGTCAAGTGGAGGTAAATGCTGCTGGAGAAAATTAGTATAAAGGTAAACAGGTTGGTTGCATAGTATGTGGGAGGGTACTTGGTAGCTCTGTAGAGTGGTCTCAGCTGGCATCTATGGGGATGATAGCTAAGCAGAGACCTGAAGCACATGAGAAAGTAGTATTTATCTAGAAACAGCATTCAAAATAAGGAAAGAGCTGGTCAAAAAGTTGTGGTATGCAACAGTGAATGAATGAGAACCCAAAATCTCTTTAAATGTTCATTAAAACTAATAAAATTTAATAATAACTAAAAAAAGTTGTGGTATGAGATTGAAAAGTAAGTTAGAAGAAACATAAATGACACAAAATGACAGAAATTGAGTGAGCCAGGGAAAGAGTAGGAGGAGATGGGATCTGAGAAGTTCTTTGAGTAGGTAGAATACAGATCAAATAGTTTCCCTTTTATCCTGAGTGACATGGGTAATTGTTGGAGGATTTTTTGTCAATAACAAAAGTGATATGGTTTGCTTATAATTTTAAACAATAAAAAGACAAAAAATACCTCATGGAAAATAGGCAGAGCAGTTGAATCCATCTTTTTCTAAAGGAGCTCTACAAATGGTCAATAAACACATGAAAAGGTGCTCAAAAGAATTACTGATTAAAACCAAACCTATTGCTACCAAGTTCATTTTAGTTGGAGACTGGCTTGGCAACATAGGCATTTTCAAACCTTAGATTTTCCAAGGCTGTAAGTCTTTCCAGAAGCGGATGTCTTTCATGGAGCAAGCATCTTTTGGGTTCAAACTGCTCACCTTTAGATTTGCAGCCAGTGCATTAACCAAAGCACCACCATCAATCCTCACTACTTATTCCCAAACCCAGTGCACCCACTCCCATGGGATCAGTTCTGACTCATGGCCACCCTCCATTGGACTTCTCCACTGGAAAGGTTTGTGGATTAAATGAGAGCCTTCCTGTTAGCAGTTAGTGTGCATGCATATGCTACCAGGGGAAGTGTATATCAAAACTAAAGTGAACAACTACTTTACCTCACGCAAAAAACTCAGACTCACTGCTGTTGAGCTGAAACCAACTCATGAATGACCCACAGCAGGTTTCAGGAAGGCTGTAAATCGCATGGGAGGAAATTGCCCATCTTTTTCCTGCAGTGTAACTGGTTGACATGAACCACCAGAGAGATGTTACCTTTGGGTGATGGTGCAAAACCCAGGTCCCTTTTACCTTCCTAGGATGGCTGTTTTATTAGAAAAACAGATGACAACAGTGGATGAGGATATGAAAGAACTAATTCTCATACATTATTGGTAAGATAGTAAAATGATACAGCCTCTGTGGAATACAGTTTGGCATTACCTTAAAAAGTTAAACATAGAATTATCATTTGACTAAAAATTTCATTCTAGATAAATATCCCAAAGAATTTGCACTAGTGTTCATTGTAGTATTATTCATGATAGCCAGAAGATGTAAACAACTTAAATACCTGTCAACATATAAATGGTTAATTAAAATGGGGTATGAAAAGGATTTGTTTTTTCAGATATAGAGTTTATTGGCAGTAATTACATTTGGCAGCTCTACTTTGATCAATGCAATATTTATATTTCTCTTAGGCAACCTCCACACTCCTTCCCTGCTGTGCCTAGGAACTTCTACTACAATTGATGGGGGTATTATAGATAAAAGAGGCCTGATGACATGCATGGCCAAACTCTGAAAACATGACATTGTCATGAACCACAAAAAGTGTCACAGAGCAACAAATACTGTAGGATTCCACTTCCATGAAATCTTAGAAAGTACTTTTAAGAATTTTCTACTTAATGTGAATATACAGATACATTTAAATTAGAGTTAATTGGTGCTTCCCAGAAATGGATGAGAGGTGGGAGAAGGGTGTAATTACTTACGGGACAGAATTTTTGTAACTTTGGAAGCAGATGGTGGGTGATGGTTGTAAAAAACTGGTCACATAAAAATGGCTGAAGTGACAAATACTTCATAATAAGTAAACAATTTAAAGTATGCTTCTGATTACTGGGAATGGATTTCAGGGACAGAGGGAAGACGTGGAAAGGTCAGTTAGATGCCAGTAGTGTTGTCAGTACTGGTGGCAGTTTGAACCAGGAGGATGGCAGAACCTGTGTAAGGGTGAAACCTCTCTGAGACAAAAACCTCAAATATTTTCAATTAATAGAGAGTGACAGAAAAGTGCTAGGACTTACTCAAAGGTGGAAAATTTGTGAGATCAGGAAAGGAAGTCAGTCCCATGGTCCTGTTGAGTTCTGGCTCTCACAGACTTGGTTGTTCACTTATAGTCACAGCTATTGAGCCAGAACTTTAACTTTTAAGCTATAACTTAATGAGTTATAACGAGTCAGATGTAACTTTTTTTTGCAGCAATTTATATATATATATATATAATATATACATAAAATATATAAAAATATATATAAAAACATATATAAAAATATATATATATATATAAAATATATATATAGTTGTTATGTGCCGTCGAGTCGCCTGTGACCCATAGCGACCCTAAACAGCCCTAAACTCCGCTCTGTCCTGTGCCAATCGCACTGTCTCTGACACTCCCATCCCAATTATCCCAGTCACTGAATAAATCCACCTCATAGAGGGCCTTCCTCTCCTGCGCTGTCCCTCTACCCTCCCAAGCATGATGTCCCTCTCTAAGGACCGGTCTCTCCTCACAACATGTCCAAAGTAAGTTAGACAGAGCCTCAGAATCCTTGCCTCCAAGGAGTCACCCGGTTTAACCCTTTCCAGAACAAATCTGTTTGTTTTCCTAGCAGTCCGTGGTATTCTCCATACTCTTCTCCAGCACCACAGCTCAAAGGCATCAATTCTCCTTCTATCCTCCTTGGTCATTGTCCAACTCTCTGATGCATAACAAGTGATTGCAAAAACCATGGCCTGTATCAGACACACCTTAGTCTCCAGAGAGAAACCATTGCTCTTCAGCACTTTGGAGAGGTCCCTAACAGCAGACTTTCCCATGGCAATGCGCCTTTTAATTTCCTGGCTGCTGGTGCCAAGACTGTTGACCATGGAGCCAAGCAAACTAAAGCTGTGTATAATCTCAATCTCTTCACCATCCATCCTGATGCTGCCAATTGGTCCAGTGGTGAGAATCTTTGTCTTCTTGACGTTGAGCCTCAATCCATATTGTAGGCTGCAGTCCTTGACACTCTGCAGCAGGCGCTTCAGGTCCTCCTCAGTTTCAGCAAGCAGGGTTGTGTCATCCGCGTAACGCAGATTGTTGATAATTCATCCACCAATCTTGACCCCACATTTCTCCTCATAGAGCCCAGCCTCCCGGATAATCTGTTCTGCATATAGGTTGGAAAGGTATGGAGATAGGACGCATCCCTGGCGTACGCCCTTCCCAATTTTGAACCATGCAGTGTTCCCTTGCTCTGTTCTGATGGCTGCCTCCTGGTCCAAGTATAAGTTTTGCATTAGAACGATCAAGTGTTCTGGGATTCCCATTCTTCTCAGAGTCAGCCACAGTTTGTTATGATCCACAGTCAAATGCCTTTGCATAGTCAATGAAACACAGATAGACATTCCTCTGGTATTCTCTGCTTTCAGCCAAGATCCATCTAACATCAGCTACAATATCTCTAGTACCACGACTCCTTCTGAAGCCAGCCTGGAGTTAGGCAACTATTTTTTTTTTCAATGCAGTAAGCATAATTTATTCAGTTTTTCTTAGTCTTACCCACACCCCAATGTCAGCCTCATTCTATAACAGTGGCACCATATAATATTTGTCTCATTGTGACTGAGATTTTTTACTCAGCATAATGTCTTCCAGGGTCACCCGTTTTGAATAATATTGCAAGAATTCCTTGTTTTTCAAAGCAGCATTGTATTCCATTGTGTGAATATACCACAGCTTCTCTATCCATTCGTTTGTTGATGTTTAGATTGTTTCCAACTCCTTGCTATTGTGAATAAATAAAAAATGTAACTTTTAAGCTATAGCTTTGTCATGAGTAGGATATTTAATGTTAGATCCAAGGTGATGTCACATCTTTACCTGAGCAATAGCAGCTCACAGTTATTGAAATGCTAGCTAAGTAGTTTTTGTTCAGGGATTGATGACAAAAAATCAACCGTATATAAAAAAAAAAA